ATGAAATGAAATGTTTTATGTACAAAAATATATTTCACACTCTAAAGATACAAACAAATTGATGTTTTGATGAATGATTAACAATTCTGGATGAACACTTCTCAGAAAATGTACAGTGCTGTTGATCATCACCAGAAATAAAAAACAGAAAACGGAATGTGGCTGTTTTTCTTCGTGAAAAAACGCACAGCGGTTGATTTATTGAGTGAATTTAATAGTCATTTATTTGTTCATCGGTAATACACTAGGAACAGAACAATGGAAATTGCAAGGATACTGAAAATAATTATTGTCGCAATTATGCAATAATCAGTGCTATCGAAACCTCGAATAATCTCAATAAGTGTCGATTTCTGATGTGTTTCTGAGGTAGGTGTTACGCCTTTCGGTAGTGCTAAATGAAATGCATCGGAAGGATTCATCAGCGGTGTACTGAAACACACTGAGGTATGTCAGCTTTATTCCTCTGATAAGGCTCACGAATGGATTAAGTGAAATGTTATAAATCAGCACCAGAAAACTGATCTCGTCTGCTCTAAAAATAGCACGAGTATTTCAAACCACAATCAGTTTTTTTTNTTTTTTTTGCATTGTAGCTCGATGAATTGATACAAACGGAAATGTTTTTTCAAAGAATCATATGACTGGCACTGATCGACATTACGGCAATTGTTTGTTTCTGATCAAACCGAGAAGAAAATTTCGCAGAAATACCTCTCGTGATTGGGTGTATTCAGGCGATTTCGATCGGCCAGGTTGATTGACAAATGATCAGGCGTGGAGTGTGATGGTGATGAGTATGATGATGATTCAATTGATATTGAATGATTCAAAAAACCTCTAAAATTCGATTGTTCATCACTCGTGGAAATGCAAACGAACCATTGCGATCAAAAAAAAGTAACGATGAAACGAACTTTTCAATTTCAGGATTGATAACATTGCGAGGAGTGCAGTATGGTGCTTTGGTCATCTGTCTTCTCGCACCACCCACCAGCTCAATATTATTGTCCATTTATTTTCGTTTAATCGATTGATATCACACCTCGATCCGAATAAATAATCCTTTCTTTTAAACCCAACCTCGTTCTAATCTGCACACTATGCGACCTGTTCAACCTCCGTCCGTCGGTTACGGTTTACGGTGTTCATGCACAATACACTACCAGCCACCTCCTTCTTAGCACAACACTCGCATGTCTCTCGACTATATATCAATCGTCTTCTTTGACACTGTCGTTTGTCTTCAATTGCGGTAGGCACCCTTCCTCTTATCACAGTGCAAATCACTTAAAAATAGTATTCGCCACTCGATGATTTACAGCAAACACGCGACACCAG